GCGGTCTCGCGACGACGTCGACGTCTGGTGGCCGCGCTATTCGGTCGACCGTGGAGGCCGGTGCGGCCCCGGGTAAGTCGGTTCAGACGGAGGTGTTCCAAGCGCAGGAGGCCGACGGCAGCATCGTGACGAAGACGGTGAGGCCGATGACGCTGTTGAGTTGGTATGTAAGTGGAGCACACTTCCTACATTTCATACGAACTACCAGCTAATTCATTATCTTAATATGTTGGTGCTATGCTGTCCTACTAGGTTTCTTTATTTCGTTTGTGAGCTGAACGTTTCAAAGATATTTAATAATAGTGAAAGCGTGAAGGTGATATACAAATAAATGTTGTGTTGTCTACAGACGCCATTCATTGTCCAGACGGCTCGACGATCGGCTACTGAGTTTGGGACTCGCTAAACCTTCCAGAAGTCGCTGCGTTTTATGTGCTCAGGCTGCATTCGTAGTCGAATGTTCCTCTCCATTTACTTCGTACAAATGTGTACTGCGTGTATTTATCTCAACGCACTCCAACTGAAAGACCCTACCATAGTTTATCGTTTCATCGACTGGTTGATCAAACCTGCCCCTCTCGGCGGAAGCGCACCGGGCTCGCAAAATGCCATACTGCATTTAAACCATCACATAGCGTTAGCACAATACCCGAGTTAGTGTTGTCACGAACGATTTACCTGGATCTTCAGTTAATGCTTCCGACGTATCCCATAGCTCCGCCAACGAAATCTTCTGACCACGTAGCCCCGTCAGCACTTTTTGCTGTGGAAAATTGCGGTCGTTAAAAGAAGGAAATGGGTCCTTAATAGGTTCTTGAATGTCTTCCTCGGACTACTGCGCCATTTTGATAATCTTGTCTCTGAACGCACGCTCAGCTTCGTCACTGCCCCGGTCTGCCGGTAGTATTGGTCTCGATCTACTGTCAGAATCACTACAGTACGACGCTCGATCGGCAGATAACTCACTGATCTCAACCACAGCCCTGTGATTCGGTGGCGGCACGTCTTCATCTCCATCTAGCTCTGCCAGAACAGCACCCCAGTATTCAAAAGCATCGTCCGCCCCCAACTCACTTCCTGTTTCGTCGTCTGACTCGTCTTCAGTATCGACTTGGTTGCATTCAAATCGCTCGTCTTGGCGTCGAGGGTGCTCTGTTGGGTTGATCAGCTTTTTAATACGCTGGGATTTCAAGATGCTATCAAGCTGATCCGACTCACGAACCTTCTTCCGAACAGCGGCTATTTTGCAAGCCTTCTCCACCGACATTTGTTTCGTTTTGCTGTGTGAATCAGCGCTAACTCACTTAAGTAGCGCTCGCATGTTGCTGTGAAGACCACAATAGACAGCACTTGCATCGGAAGTATCGGCAGCTTGCTAAAAGGCATGTCATCGCGCATGAAATCCCAGAACGAACTGACGATACTGAACCCTCCCTGTGGTGGAAGTGCTAGCTTTCCTTTCAGCCACTTGTAAATATCCTCTCCTAAGTTGCCGGGGTCCGCGCGCATGAATCGCCGATAATAGTAAACGCCGATGCGGCACAGGGAGCCTATCGCTGTCAGCGGGGTCTTGTTTAACAGCTTTTGAGCGGCATTGGTGTGTAAAGGATGTCAAAATAGAGCGAGCAACATGAGTGGCTGCTCACACTGTTTCCATCGTTGCTCCACTTGCTTGATAAGGTTGCGCGTGCCAAACGGACGCACCGAAAATCCTTTGATTATATCCATATAGCACACAACAACATCCGCGAGCGAGTTCTCGTCGCGCTGCAACTTCAAAAAAGGAAAATGCAAGCGGACGCACCACCTCTTCAGCGTCTTTAAGCCGTTCCCAAAATGATCCTCTGCTAAAAACGCGTGCAGCATCAGGAAAATCATTGCCAGCTCGAAACTTAAACTCTAGTAACTCAAGCGCACTTTGAACGCGCAACAACGATGCAAAACATCCATGCATGCTGTTCCAACGGGTTTCACATAATTGTTTCAGATTCAGGAAATATCCATAAGTATCCACCATGCACGTCCTTGCTTCGACTAACCACTTTGCGGAAGACGCATTCAGAGCATTGACCGCGTCTGATGCTTGCTTGGTGACCTCAGAAAATCTGACTTTAGAACTGCCTTGACTAAATTGTTTAGATCATGAGCAAAACCGATCTGAAATGAGATATGCGGCCACCGTAGACTTAAAATTCGTCGTGCCCGCGCGCATTGTCCGGCATTATCGGTAACAACGCCACCAATTGTCCAACCATCACTCTGCATCTTTTCCATCACACATTCCATTTGTTCCGCAATTGCGATAGCGTCATGCCTGGGTCCCGTAGGAAGCAAAGCGTATGTCATACCACAACCAAAAAGAACCAATTGGCAACCAAGCAAGTGAGCGCGAGAAATGTTCTGCCAAACATCACTTAAGAAATTCACGCGCACCTTCATTGGCATATTGTACATTACGAAGTGCCGTGCTATCTTGGCTCTCGCAGTCGAAAGCGTACGCGTCTAGAATGGATCCATTAAGCTTCTTGCGGGTTGGTAGTGGGAAGATGTCAGCGATCATCTTGCTTACGTGACGCAGAAACGCACAGTAGATAAGCGCTCAATAAAACTGTCAGGAAGCCGATTATCAGCTTGAATTCCAACTAGTAATCTCATGAAGATCTCTCCCTCCGCGTCATGCGATGGTCCTGAAAAAAACTGGTCGATACGCTTCTGTCTTTTCTCACTTCGTGTCGAGGACGCATCGTCGTGAACAGACGAACTGCTATTAGGTTGAAAGGCTGTTGAGCTGGAAGAACGGCTAGCAGCTTCCACAGAGTTGCGTGTTTGAATATAGGCTTGATAGAATTTACAGCTCTTGAGATGGCTTCTATAGTTTTCCGGCCTCCCTCGAAGTCTCTTCGGCTCAGGGACAGGAGGCTCGTGCGGTGTTGCGCGGTAACTACCCTCAGCTGGCTGCCGCGAAGCATAATACGCATTGTTGCAGTGGTTGCAAATGTGGTATGTCCGGTTGTTACCGGCGTCTTCATGCAAGTCTGTGAACTCGTCGCGCTCTTGGCACGATGGGTGGCCCATGCTTCGGTACGGTGTAGTGTTCGATGTGCGATAGCTAAATACACTTGTCGAGCGTGCGTATTTCAGAAATAGAGACTTGTTGTATGTGGTATCAGTATTACTTTGACGGTGGGGACCGGATCACTCCGTCCAGTGAATCACCACCAACCTCCAGGTGCACTGGTTTTACACTGGTGTTTTCTACACCAAAACCATATAAAACCATTAAATCCGAAAACCAAAAACCAGCCAACACTGCTTCGAACCGCGTGATAGGGTCACTGCCCCGTGCAATACAGCAAAATAATTGAATAATTTATTATTGTGGATCGGTATATTGCAATGATTATTACGTGCTTCTGTGAAACCCATTACAATATTTTATTTTATTGTAAGAGCACTGCTTACCATCCTAGTCCTTCACTACAGGACTGCGGTAGCGTCTTCCCCCTTTGTTTAAGCATGACCGCTACTTACGCCGCAGATTATGTAAGTTGGTGCCGCTGCTGACGTAGCTGATTGTGCAGTCCTACTATTGACGCAGCTTGATCCAGTGTCGCTCCTCGTGACGGTCGCTGCTAGTGTCGGCCCGGTTGTCGGTGTTGGTCGCTGCTGTGTCGACGCTGTCATCTGGTACAATAAATGTACTCTACACCTCCGCACTTAGATTTGGTAGGCTCTCTCACCAACGCACGAGAGGTCTTCGAAGAGCAGTGATCCCCCCAAAAACCTTGATCGAATAATTACGGACTGCCTGAGCGTAAACCACTAGACGCAAGTAGATAAACATACATTTAACCAATTGGTTACTTACAGAAACAAACATAAGCTGTGTGATGACGAGCTCGTCATCACACAGTAAACGAGCTCGTCATCATACCACTTATGTTTGGTCCCAGGTCCTGCAAATTGGCTTTGCATTATTATAAGCGAGCTCGTCATCACACAGCTTATGTTTTTCTGTAAGTATAAATAAACTGGATATTTCATCCATACTCTGCACTTCGTGTCGTTTTGATGCGATTCCCCACTTTACCTTTTCCCTCGCCGGACGCAACCACTAGGCACAACTATCTAAAGTGCGATGCGTGTCCTGTACATAACATTAATATCAACGACCGCTGCGCTCTTGTACAGTCATGCCTTTGCATTGACGACGAAGGCTAACGCCGACACGACGCAGACGACAACCGATATTTCGTCCGCATTGCTCGCAGGAGTACAGGACAAAGACCTTGCCATGCGAGCTCTAAGGACAGGTCGCTCGGGTGGTGGCAATGTTGAGCACAAGGACCATGACGAAGAGCGGTGGCTTAGTCGTGTTACAAATTGGATCAAGTACAAGAGGGGCAAGATGAATCCCAAGCAATTACACACATACTTGGGCTTAGATGGACTGGGCCAAAGCGCTCGCGATAGCTCGAACTTCCAGAAGTACTTGAAGAAGTCGGCAGAATGGCGGAACAAACACTAAAGTCACGTTTATTCTTGCTCACAAGTTGTCTCTGAGCGATATCGACAAGAGTCAGCAAGAGGTTCCAAGCGTCAATAGCGAGCAATTGAAGGACTAAAACCATGAGAGACGAATAAAAACGATTTGGAAGCATGGGCGTTGACGCAAAGACACTCATTGTGTCACAGCGAGGACGCAATCGACCAGATAGAAGTCAAAACACTACGCAGCCAGACGAGCATCGTGAGTCTTCGAGATAGCAAGACTGTGGAGTGTGCAGTGGGTGACGGACTGAAGTGGGGGAAATATCAATGATATTTGCTTTTTGAATTGAGCTACTAACTCATGTTAAATGCTAAACTTGTACTACTAGTAGTAGTAGTAGTAGTATTAAAACTGTACGTGTCTGTTTAAATTCGAATACCGAGGTACGTAGTGATACTAGGTTTTATGAGCTGACTACTTCGAAGTATCATTTCAAAGTTACGCTTAGTCACTCCATCTGCGGGAGATTATGCGCTTGTCGTTCAACAAGTTGCAAAACAGTGAGTCCCGCAACATGTTCGAGTGGTGATGTGACGTCGTCCTTCATGGCAATTCGCAGGTATTTAATGATCATCTGATGCGTAGGTTGAACACTCGCTAGCTTGAGACTCGCCATTTCGGTGAGTTGCAGTGGATTCATTCGTCGATTGTCCATGATGGTCATTGAGGCGCCAGCACAGACCAATAGTCTTGTGCTCTTGATATGACCATAAAAAGCTGTGTAGTGTAGCGCCGTAAGCCCGTCCAGTGAGTCCTGTTGATCAATCGATGCTCCATTCCGCAAGAGAAGAGATAATACCTCGTCTGATCCTGACAGCGCTGCCCAGTGAAGAGCTGTTCGCCCAAGATGGTCCACTTCGTCCACGATTTGTTCATTTCTCAAACACGATTGCGCCGTCTTTGCATCGCCCGACCGCGCAGCCTCAAGAAAAAGTGCGAAACGACCAAGAAAGTTGTTGCTCTGTTGTTTCTGCCCTGTAGTAACAGCGATTTTACTCTGTTGAGTTTTAGTGTTCAAGTATTGATGAGCTGCCTGAGCATTTTGCGTTTCGAGCGAAACTTGAGTGCAATACGCGAGTACCACAGTGGATATGCCAACGACAATGTAAATAATCAGTGGGACGGCAGCTAGGATCAAGAAAACTCGTCTGGTACTTGTCGCCGTACTGGAGGGAAGACTTAAAAATAGTAGTAAAAATACCACACACGGAAAACCCACACAGATTCCACGAAGACAGCGACTTCGTAGACAGCATAATAAACGCGAAAAAGTTGGTGAAGGAACATCGCTTCCTATCCCTTGCTTCTCGCGAAATACTGCGTTCTCCAAGTCGTCATCCTGGTCGCCTACTGTTGGAATAGAAGAAGCCATAGCATCAATTTGGTTGATCAGTGCAGTGTTGTCAGGTATTTATAAACGTCAAGACCTATTAATAATAGTGAATGCTCATCAAGAAAAAAAGAGCACGTGCTGTGGCAAGCGAAAATGCAAGGACCTCCGTTAGAATCGGAATCTATAGGATGTACCCCATCAACGAGGACATATCCCGATGGAACTGTGAGATCTGCCCGTGGGTCTTCGGCTAGTTCACATCGCAGACTTCGACAGGAATTGTCCTATCCAGCAACCGCACAATGGGCGTTCCTGACCTCGACTAACACACAGCAGACCAATCAGCAACGACCTTTAAGGCCTTCTACCGCTCGAGTATCTGCTCCATCGGAGGGCATCAAACTACCCAAACGACCTGCTACCAGTCGAACCTCGAAGACTCAAATCCGTCATCATGAACATGAGGAACATTTTACGACGAGAAGTGACACTATAGCGATACAAGAGGCCATTCGACGCGAACGAAACCAGGAACAGTATGTGAACCCGCTTATTGGTCGAAGTGTGGAGTCTCGAGGGCAACTTGGTCGGGATGGTAAGCCCAATCGTGATGGAGTAGAAACTAGAACTATGGAGTTATTGTCCCGAGCTCGTGTCGTCTCCACAGCCGCGATGAATGCTACAGAACGTCTGCGCTCGAGAGCTTTCCAGGCACGAGCAAATGGAGATTATGACCGAGCTATCAAGTTTTACACGAGTTTATCGACTGCAAAACCGAGTGAAATTGAGGCGAAATTCCAGCTCGCTGTGTGTTTAGAACGAACAGGTCAAATCAGACCCGCGTTAGCAGCTTACAAGCAAGCTCAGAGACTTTCCGGTGGACAACATGCCTTTGCGTACTATAATATGGGCAATTTGTGTATGCGTGTCGATAAAGTAGCTCAAGCTGTCGACTATTTTTCACGTGCGATTAGTGTCAGCAAAGACAAAAAAGGGTCCAATAGAGGATCACCCCCAAGTGCATTTTATCGACAGCGAGCAGCAGCGTACCGTAAGAATGTAGATTTCGAGAAGGCCGCACAAGATTACGACCTTGTTCAAAAGAACTCAGGGGGCTCCACTACCTTGGCAGACGAGAGTGTGATGTACACTGCTGAGCACCTGTACAACACCGTGAAGCGTGCCACATCTCCGAAGAAAAGAATCCCTCAACAAAGTGTACATAACGATGAAATAGCACGTGGATTGGAGATCGAACCTGACACAAACCAAGACACAAACAAGTGTCAAAGCGAACCTGATGAGACTGAAGATGCACTGACAGCTTGGACGCTTCAGCGCAGTCTGGAGATTGCTCGACTTCCACCGTCTGAAAGAAGCGACAGTGACCTTCAATACCTCGTCGATTTTATGCAGAAGAGATTCTTAGTTTGCGCGGCGTTGAATCCGGAAGTTTGCAAGCTTTTATGTCGTGATCTTGTGCTAAGTCCCGATGGAGCTCTTCCAGCCCAAACACCAATTTTTATGGAACAGAATGGTGTTGAAGCTCCACATGATAAGTCATTGTATTTTATTTTTCCAAGGAAGAGTATCTGTCTCAAAGACTGCTGGTAGAATGTTTCAGCTGTCGGCAGAGTACCTAGAGAGCTCTGAAGAGCGCTTTAAAGTGCAGGGAGAGCTGGATGAAGCTGAAATGGGTGCGTCCGACGTCACGTGGGAACCTCCATGGAATACTTATCAAACACCCGTTAATTCGGACTGGAAGCAAACGCAATTAGAGCTCTGTGAGCTTGAGCACGGAGATATTTTTGGTCACCAAGGGAGGATTACAAACGCTCCACGGTAAGAAACAATCGCTTTTAAAAATATTTGACTGCTAATCAAATATTACTGTAGAGCGTATTCAGCAATTACGACAACAACGTGTGTGATAGGGGCTTTATCGTGGCATCAGTGGAGTCGAATTGACCGTGCACAACACGAAGTCGAGGTAAGTAGTCTCAATCCTACAATAGTAAATATATTTTTTTAAATATCGTTTTATTTTCCTAGCGAGACCGCGCCGCTCGATTCCTCTCCATGGCCCCAGCGTTCAATAATATCCCCGTAGTAGATATCCGCAACCTTGCAAACCGAGTACGTCCGCTATTAGTCTAATCAATATTTTTTTCTTACAGAAAAAATTCTTGTATCAGTCTACATTTGTCAAGGTCATCGGCTCCAAAGTCGTGTGCTGTGAAGGCCAGTCTGTGAATGGGCTGATACTGGTTCGAGAAGGCGAACTCTGCAAATTTTCGCCTTGTGCACCACCTGATATGTCCATATCATTCGCACTTAGTGGACGCCTATCTAAATCTCAAAGCGCTCGACTATTTTACACACAACTTGAGACTGCAGGGGATCCTCTGAGCTTTTTACGTATTAATGAGGCGCATCATGGATTGTTTCCACAAAATTACGTGAAGTCCAAGCAGCGGGAGCTTCTGCGAGCTGCCACTACACGACCAAAATCAACCAATACCAGGCGAACAAGTGTCGCTATCAACTGTATGGGGACTGGAAGGGGGACAACGCCAACGCAACCGGTTGCGCTGGCACTGCGACGTGGAGAATGTTTTTGTGCGTCATCATCCTGGGTTCCACCGCGCCAGTCTCGACAAGAAAAACAGCAGATTCATGGAATATCTTGCGCCAAGGCAGCGTTGATATCGGTCTCTACAGTAGAGCTTCTGCTCTTGTCGGCTGCAGATATCATGCAGGGATTCTCTGCTGATAGCCGTTCGCAACTACATCGTAATTTACAGGACATTGCCTTGATGAACAAACATAAGTACAAGACAGACTTGTCACGTTTACGAGCTCCACCTGGAGGGAGAAGAAACTCGAATCTGTTAGAGCAGTTAGTCCGAGATACACATTGGAGCAAATTTAAACAGGAGCTCGTGGAGAGTGTGCTTCGCGGACGGACGTGACCTTAAAGGCAGCACATGTATATGTTATTGGGATTTAAATTCTTACTAGCAGAGGATTCATTTAAGTACGCATTTTTATTTAATCTCGTTCAAAAATTTAATTCTGATTTCCTCAATGCGCGGAGAGGGTGAAAACACATTGCTTTTTGTGATGTCGTTCAGAGATTCTACGTGTGGAGCATGGCGTTAGTATGATTTAGCGTGTAGGTTGCGAATTAAAATCACGTAAATTATACTACTATCGAGAAATACCTCGTTTTTCTTACCGATATGGAGAGGGGGGGGTATGTGACGATATATTGTCAAGAACTCTGACGCTACGAGGAGTTAATTTTTTTATGACCCGCTTTCAATTAGTATCCTCTCCCAGGAGGGATATTCGTGCTGCTTACTACTGTAGTACTTGTACTAAAAGTTGTAATTTTTTTACCACTCAAGAAATCTACATCCCCACAAACAAAAGCAAAACCCCAAGCACACGAGGAATGCACTGAAGTCCAGTGACAAAACGAACCGAACTAAGCCAGCGTTAGCATTTTTTCTTAGCGTCTTCAATTGCTTCAACTCAATTGATAAACCATCCTTCAAAACTCTTGAAACTACGGTCTTACTGGTTCTTCCACCACTTCTTCGACTTCTTAATGTAACTAGCGTAGTTCTTGTGTTTGTAGGCTTCTTGACCACGTCCTTGTAACTTTAAGTACTTGTAAAGCTGCTCGGGATTCATCTTTCCAGCGTGGTACTTGACAAAATCTGTCATACCATTAAGCAGTCGCTCTTCGCCGTCGTCGCTGTCGGCTATCGGATGCGTTCTCAAAGATCGCGTTGTAACGTGTTTGTTCGGCTCCCCAGCTAGAACTGGAGTTAGAATGCTGGTTGCCGTCTGGGCCGTGTCAGCCACAGTCGTGGTCAAACCGGACGCAGGACTCGGTACTAGAACAGTGGCCGTCGCCATCAGCGCCAAACACAGCACGCGCATCGATATGATGGGTTGCTCGGTACCAGGAGGGGAAAATCGAAGTGAGTAAGAAAATCGAGGAAAGCAAAGTATTGTAACCTGTGTCCGTCCTGGCTAATACAGTTTCTTCCCATCGTACCGACCGCGCCTATCTTTCTGACTCGACCTAACTATGCCAAAATTACAAATATATCCAAAAGCGTCACACAATTAACTCGCGCCCTGATTGGGCAATACCTGCTGACCTGCGACACTGACTGGATCTGTCGCACGATCAGACCGCCTCTCTCCCTCGCGATTAGACGTAAGGTAAACATTTCTGTCAAGAACGAAACACAGCGATTGGTTGCAAACAGCCAGGCGAGCTGCGCAGATGATTGATTGAAAGCAAAGTATCTCCCCGCTTCTAACTGTCGGTCTGTCCGTCCGTCAGTCCGTCGCATTCCCCGTCTTGCTGCTTTTGCCTGCCTTTTCGCATGACTACAGTCGGCCTGTCTAATACAGTTTCCTCCCATCGTACCGACCGTGCCTACCTTTCTGACTCGACCTAACTATGCCAAAATTACAAATATATCCAAAAGCATTACACAATTAACTCGCGCCTTGATTGGGCAATACCTGCCGACCTGCTACACTGACTGGATCTGTCGCACGATCAGACCGTCTCTCGCCCTGGACGTGATGTAAACATTTCTGCCGAGCACGAAACGCATCGATTGGTTGCAAACAGCTAGGCGAGCTGCGCAGATACTAAATTATTGACATTCAGCTACGCAAAACCTATCGTATGTACTCCATGCAGTTAAAGCTCTGCGATGTTATTTTCCACACGTTTTTCAAAGTAGAGACGATATATTCATTAATTAGTATTATTATTACTAAAGGAGGCTTCACGACCTTTGTGTTATAATAGTTGCACCCCTGCATGCGCGAATGGTACTTACGTGGTGGTGCTGCTATTGCTGAAAAGTATGATTGTACAAAAATAATAATATCATTATTTAAGCGATTTCCAAAACTAAAAAAAAACTTTTTTTTTTGTGTAATAATGAGTACTGGCATTAAATGGCCGTGTATTGGCTAAATATTTTGACGTACTTTATTGGTTAAAATAATATCATGTTTATGATATAATAATACTATTTAATATTTTGCTAAATATTAAACACCCAGCAGTAAGTATCCGTTAAAATACCTAATATTTTGACGCACGTTAGTAATTATAAAATTTCCTTCACAGTTTGCAACATGGCGAGGCCCACGTGCAAGGCCAATATTGGCCTGCAACTGCTGAATCCGCAGCGGTCTACGACGAATTCCCGGGCGCGCTGCGTCTGCTGCGGGAAGCTGCAGTACGGCTACGCATTCCGTACAATCAGCAGGCGGGACATCGTGCGGCGCTGTATTGTCTGCGAGAACTGCCCAAAAGCGGTTGAGTTTTGGGAGGAAAAGCCCCCACCTCCTGATTCGGCCGAAATGCGCCATCAGGAAAGCCTCGCAAACGCCATGAAGGCGATGGGCCCTGACGGGTACCCCAAGAGGAAAAAGAGGCGCAGCCGCCCTCGCAAGCTGACCGCCCGAAACGCCAAGTACATCGAGCAAAAGAAGCAGCAGAAGAGCAAGTAATTGGTAAATATACCCTTTAAGGCCCCCATTTTCCTACCTATTCTTGTTTTTGTTTTGGTATACTGGCTGACGGTGCGAGGGCTTGGGGCCGCATTAACGGTAAGCTGACTATGGCGCTGTTAATAGTGTTGACGCACCCTACAGAGGGTAGCGCGTTTCAAAAAATAATTAGCGCATGGTGTCTACTGCGAACCCTTGCAAGCTGACCGTCCCTATCGGCTTCCGCGTAACAATAGATCGAGAGTACACTCGCTCACTTGGATACATGCTAACCATGCTATCTGTGACATCAGCGCTCACAGCGTATGTTCCATTAATGTGCGCTCACAAATCGAAACTACAGCATCGAGTGAGCACTACACGCGACGATTAAGTTGCTGTCTACATAGATACGAGCACGTGTGCGGTAGCGCAAACAATACCGGTGGGTGTGGTAAGTCGAACTGTCTGTACGCAGTACTATACTTTAGTGCCCTGTCCATAATGGTCAAGATAAGAGCTCGGCTCAGTCGCGGACAGCTATAAGGTGTACCCGCCGCGCGCGTAGATACTGCGTTGAATACAGGTGACAGACGCGCGGCCAGCTTGCCAATATCGCTGCAGTATGGCCTGTGCCCTGCTTGGTCATATAGACTGATACATCAAAGGCGTAAGCACAGTAAGCCAGCACGACGACGCAAATGTACCGTGAAAGCGACAGTGATCCTATACATAGGTTTGAGATATCACGAGCGCGTGGTATACACACTCATTAACGACCTCGCAATATATGCACGGATACATCAAATAGCACGCCGAGTTGATAAGTAGGCATCAAACGTACTTCATATAATGTACATGAGCGACGATTCGAACCAAGTCTAAGATATCTACGATCTGATAATCTGCCTACACTTATGGGGCTTCGTATGTTCGTCATACATATCGGAGCCAGTAAATGTCTCTCGAAAGGGTCTACGCCACTCTATCAGTCAGAATCTATACAAATAAGTCAGTATGTGCGGCAGCTATGCAAGTAGAATCAATGCATGCAATACAAAGTGGAAACACCCTTCAGTAATATCATAAAGAGCTCAGCAGAACAATTGCAACGCATAATATTGGTGTTTGTCGCGACTATCGGCAAAATCTACCTGTCCTAAAAGATACTTCGCGCAAGAAGCTGACTAAACCTTTCTCTAATAGACCGTCGCAATCAATGATATGGTGTCGACTGCCTCACGGCGATGACGAGCAGATGATATTATGTTTGAGTAGACGTATTTACTCCAGCTAAACTGGGATTCCTCACCGGTCTATGCCAATGTGGATCATCACTGATACTGACATGTCTTCTGAACAGCATTTGTTAGCTTTGCAGCCACGGACGCCTCCGATTCGTGTCATTTTGGGGGCTATGCGCTCAAATGCGATTATAGACAAAACCTTCACGGGTAAGATGGTGCTCATCTTGCAGATCACGTTAAACCCTGGTCATATCTATCATAACATGTGAGCACTAAATATACTGTGTGCGGTGTTGTTTTGGAGCGTAATATAAGTAGAACACAGTATACATGTACTATATGTTGCTTTGCTGCACGTAGAAACGCTAAGCACACCGCAGCGCAGCGAAGGTGGTCAGCCCGCACTACACCAACCAACCATGCCCTAGCGTCCGCGGAGCGGGCGCCCAGACCGCTAGTTTCCCGCTTCTAACCTTGTAACCTGTCGGTCTGTCCGTCCGTCAGTCAGTCGCACCCCCTGTCTTCCTTCTTTTGCCTGCCTTTTCGCATGGCTACAGCCGGCCTAGCTAATACAGTTTCGTCCCATCTTACCGACCGCGCCTACCTTTCTGACTCGACCTAATTATGCTAAAACTACAAATATATCCAAAAGCGTTACACAATTAACTCGCGCCCTGATTGGGCAATACCTGCCGACCTGCGACACTGACTGGATCTGTCGCACGATCAGACCTTCGCGATTGGACGTGATGTAAACATTTCTGTTGAGAACGAAACACATTGATTGGATGCAAACAGCCTGGCGAGCTGCATTGATGATTGATTACTGACATTCAGCGACGCAAAACCTGTCGTATGTACTGCAAATCGGGCACAGTAACCATTTATTTTGTAAGAGCTCTGCAAATAGAGATATTTATTATTATTAATTTAGACTTCACAGACCAGTATTTTGTAAGAGCTCTGGGATATTATTTTCCACACACTTTTCAAAGTAAAGACGATATTAATAGTATAAGCTTCACAGACCGCATTTGTAAGAGCTCGGCGATGCTATTTTCCACAGACTTTCTAAAGTAGAGACGATTGTATTTTTTAATACTAAAGTAGGCTTCATGACCAGCGCTTTTTGTAGGGACTTTGCGAATATATATCTTTTTGCTTCACCTGGCACTCACCACTGCCACCGT